AAATGGTATTATACATTCTGGATTGAAAAAAAGGACTTATTATTGTGAAAGCACTTCTTAAAATGCTAGAAGTGTGATCTGAAATAGCGAATAGTGTTTATACTATTGTTAATTCAGAAAAATCATGAGAAGATTGTTTATTAGCATGTATTCGGTTTGTGGCTGCTCTGGCAGGGTAGAAATAGAAATGAATTTAAGATGCATTGATTTGGATGTAACATACACACTAGTGTTCAGGCATGTTCCTGCAGAGGGGTGATTTCCTTGTGATGCTGCCTGTTTTCTGGTGTGCAAAATGTGTGTAGGACACCACACCGTGATGAGTCCCTTGCACTTTCACTTGGAAGTGAGGTCTGTGAAGGTTTGGAAGGCACACCTCTTTCCTGGCCAAGCCCTCTCTTTTGTAGGCATGATTCCAAAGTACTGCAGAATGTGTCTGAAAAGGTCCATGTTGATGTTTCTGATGGCAGACTTGGGGCTTGATACCTTCTTTCTTCTAATTTTGTTTTTGTTTTGTTGGTTTTGGGTGGTTGGTTTTTTTTGTTTTGTTTTGGTTTTTTGTTTGTTTGTTTGTTTGGTGTTGTTCCTTTTCCATATGATAAACTCATGAGGAGAGAGGTAGTCAGAAACTTCCCTCCTTCCCTGACCTGACTGCGTTTCTGTGCCTGGTGCTGTTGAGCAGCATATCCTGCTGTCTGAATTCCTGCTTCTACTCATCTTGTTGAGTTCTTACCTGGAGACAACGAACGCCCTCTTGCCAAAACTTCGGCTTACCTGTGGTCTGTGTTACTTGGGTTGCAGGGAACCTCCTGTTAGGAGAGGATCTAGTGGAATTTAATAGAAACAAGATGTTGTGTGGCTGCTGGCCACTGCTGAACACAGTGTTTGGTTTAGTACCACCTTAGTGACTTGTGACTACGAGGTTCTGCAGGCATCTTTCTTAAAGCAGGTTTCAGCCTGCTCCCTTAAAACTGATTATCTGGGCTGTAGTCATCCATTTCTGATACTTTCAGTGGTTCACTAAAACTCATTTATCCAGTCTTGGACAGGAATGCATGGTGGGGGCTCCCAAATATTCAAACCTAACTTTCCGAGAGGGTCAGCTGCCATTAACTGATCTTTCTAATTAAAAAACTGATCCTGCTCTCTAGATCTACTACAAAGTGAGATTCTGAACATGCTATCAGTGAAATGTTCATCCTGAATCAGATGAGTTTTTACAAATGCTCTGGACTTTGCTTTTACTCTATATTCCGTGACACTTAAAGGTTAATCCTTCGTTGCATTTTGTTGAGATGTAGAATGTGCCTGATCATTGACTGACAAAGAGATCTAAACTGAGTATTTATTGCAGGAAACCACAGAAAACAAACTCTTGCATGTGCTTGATTTAAATTATTCCTTCTTTTCATCTAAATCTGCTAAACCAGCAGTTGCAGCTAATATGATAATGGGTGTGATTCATTATTAATATAGTATCTGCTGATCCCATAATTTCCCCAATTCAGTAATTGTTTGGGGATTTGCAAATCAGATAGGACCCACTGAATGTTAAAAAAAAATGCTGAAAATGGGAGTCTTCTCTATTTTCACTACTTCTTCTGGTAACCTTGAAGATGCACAAGGTGTTCTTTGGAAATTGCTTAGGTTAGGACTAAAGCCAGAAATTGTGATGACATGGTCAAATTAATTCTATATACGTTTAATTAAATTATTCAAACCCCTGATATAGACAGTTGTATTTCAGGTTGATGTTCATATTATTGTTTCATAAATAAAGAATTACTATTCAAGAAAACTGTATTGTATTTAGATAAGGATTGCTTTAAATATTGGTGTATTTGAAGACTTACTTTAATTTGGTTTAATCAAATTCCTCAGTTTATTTTGGTGTGCAAATTGTCCAGAATGAAATGTTTATTTAACACATGCTGTTTAGCTCTATGGTTTTTTTCCTAGTGTGTAGTTTAACACAGATAGAGATCGTTAGTAAACATGGGAGATAAAGCTGGAACTCAAGCTATGTGGGACACTGTGTGATTGTTTTTTCCTTATGGAAGCCTTAATAAGTCATCCTGCTTGTAAGAACTGTTCCAAATACCATGATATTATCCAGGACACATTTTTAAGTTGTAAAGAAGAAGAATTAGCTCATACAGGCTAGGCATCCTTTTTTTGCAGCACAATTGCAAATCATGTTCCTTGCAACTCTGTTTCCCATTCGCTGCCTTGGAACAGATGGTTTTTTTTTCTTTTGGCTCAACCATACACAATCCTTTAGAAAGAAGAGATTTTTAAATCTCCTGCAATATGCATGCATTTACTGCTCTTCAGACCACAGCTGTAAAAATTATGACACATGCACGGTTTTTAACTCAACAAAATACAAAAGCTCCCACATGGACAAGTATATTTTCTAACAAATACTAACAAATAACTGAAACATTTTCCAGTTTAGGTAGGGTATATAGTATAATGTTACAAAGTTCCTAATCTCAGAGTTGCTTTTGACAGCTACTGTTTCACTGCTTGTTAGAAGCACTCCTGGCATGAAATCCAGGGTGAGTGGCTTGCGAGCCGTTTTCTGTAAATGCCAACCACGCTAATGACTAGAGTAGTCATGATAAATGACTTTAACTCCCCACTATTCTCAACTGAACTTACTCGTTTATTATGTCTGCAAACTCCCGGATAGTGTCAGGGTCTCTTTTCACTGCTGAGTACCAATATAACAATTATGGCTGCCCCAGTTATTGCCCATGATTAGTTAGGAGTCTCCTGAAATGAGCTGCAATGTGATGCAACTGCTGCTTGTGTCAACATGATAGTAACTCTGCAGAGTCACTGTAGCAGTACGTTTGGTCAAATGTTAGTTTGGTATTTTAGAGGTTGTAGTGTTGCCTTCCTTGATTTTCTTTTTCTTGATCCAGCAAAAGTTGAGGCTGATGGCATGTAGGAGTTGTAGAATTATTCTGTGTAGCTGGGTATTTGCAGGAGCAGCAATGGATATGGTGCAGAATGGCTGCGGGTTTGGAAGGACTTTTTTTTTTCTGGTCAAAAAATACTGGTAAATCACCAGGAGCTTAACCTTCCAGCAGAACTGAGCAGCTGAGAATTGGAAGTTAGCCCTTCCCCAAACCCAGCCTTTAGGCACAAGTTTTCACGAGCATTCTGAAACTGAAATGGACAGTTTATTTTAAAGATTTTTAATGAAACTATTTAAGTTCTTTTTCTGTTTTAAGCAGTGTTTTCTACAGATATCTAAGACAGACCTGTGATCTCTGCTTAACTTTTTCAATTTGCAAACATTTTTATACTTGTGGGTGCAGTGAGTGTCCTTGTATACGTTTTACACCTCTGGATTATCAGAAGTTAATTGAGTTGAATAAATTCCTCATATAACACTACCCCAGTTAGCACAGTTTCACTGGATGAATATTGAACTGGTTATTAAATCACTGCTGTCTGAGAGACAAAAAACTGTGTATGCCGGCACACAGGATTTTCTGAGCTGCGTGCAGAGCTATAAATAACTTCTCAAGGTACACCCAGGCTGATAACTGAGGACTGGCTGGAAAATACATCACTGAGACATGAGTGCTGAAACAGGTAACAAACAGTATTGGTAACAAAGAGAAACACTGGAAACACATGGATAGTGATTTGATGTCTACGTTTTTGTGCTTCAAAGCCAGCATGCAAAGTGGAGGAAATGCAGCAGTTTCCAGAGATGTTGAGTCAGTCCTGTCCTGGTCTACTCAAGAAATACTGGTTTAGATCCAGTTAGGAGTGACAGCAAGATGCAAGGAATGTGTTTTGTTACTAATTCCAGTTCCTTTTTTTTTTTTTTTTCCTGTGCTGAAATATTTTTCTTCAGTCCTATGAAAAATGCCATGTTGATGGTACAAAAATTTATCTGTTTTGAAAATGAGGACGAAATTGCACAAAGAAGGCTGATACCAGCATCTGAGGCTCATGATAGCATCTAATCAGAATATATCTTAAAGAACCGAGCAGCTTCTGTGCTTGTCACGTTTGGCCTCCTCCAGAAGAGGAGTAACAATCTATTCTTGAAGAATTTGTATAGGAAGCAGAAGAAAATTCAGTAAAATCAAGACTTAAATTTGGAGCCAGAGGGGTATGAATGTGGACAGGGTGTGTGGTACCTTTTCTACATTCTGTTTTGATAAACTATTGCATTCTTCAGAAGGGAATTTATTATATATAAATCCATCTGAGTCATCAGTACTTAATTATTTTAATAAGCCTTTTCCTTTTCTGCCATCAACGGGGTAAATACAAGAAGGAGGAATACAAATAGTGAATTACAGTATTTGTGACTTATTTGGTAGGTTCCTTTAAATGAAATTTCAGTGTTGTATGCAGGGTAAAAATATTTCTTTGATGATTTGTTAATAATACTTTCCTTTTCCCAGCTGGATTCTGTCCTGCAGTAATATTCACAGCTGCAGAATGTTTCAGTGCGGATTGTATTGAAGACTAAAAACTGAAACAGTGTTGGGAAAGTTTCAGAATAAAGGTTAATGATGGAATTAATGGCAACTTATTGTTCTTAATGTGTTATCCAATTGATATCAGCTACTCTTTTTCTTTTAAAATGAGTCTGTCTTTTTGATCCCACAACTTGTGTTTAGTTTCTGCATCTATATGTTTAAATCTTAAGCCATTAATGTGAGTGTATAGTGCTCAAGCTATGATCATCAGCTATGATTTTTGCATGTATTTAGGAAGACTTTTCAAATAGTAATGTAATAGAAAAAAGAATAGAAGTTAGTCATGATGGTCAGACAAACATTTTAAACCCAAAACTGAGTTGTAAGGGCAAAAAATACATTCTGTAGGGCATGCTTGGGATTTGCTTTATTTTTTTAGCAGATTTTTTACAACTGGAAAACCATGTAGCAGTATGCAGAGCAACTGTCCTGTCCTGCTCATTCTGCTTGCTGACACTGGGAAATTTTTTTTTTTTTTCCTTTCAGATGCAGTTTCCACATCTGCTTACTCATCACCAGCCAAAAGTTTGGGAGACCCTGGAATAACTCCACTGTCTCCATCACATATTGTGGTAAGAAATGCACTTTTAACGTATACTGCATGCTGACATTAATTTTTCCTGCCTGTTTAGTGGGACATAGTATCTTTATAAAGCTGGCATTTCCTCACATAGTGATCCTTCCTGCACCATCCATACAGAGTCTTAAGTTAAATTTTGGTCACACTGGGGTTGGTGACAGAGCTCTCGTACACCTCATTGGGGTCCTGGTTTGGTTTTGTTTTTTTCTGAGCTGATTGATTTGCTTCTGCAGATTTTTATATCAAACCTAGGGGCTTCTTGATCCTCAGTGTTCCCAAGTTCTTACCACCAATTTGCTTAGGCAGCCCCTGAAAAGTCTCATTCTGTTCAGAAAAAAAAGAAGGGTATATATGATGCTTAACAGTAAAATTCAGATTCCCAGAGAAAAGAATCTTATTCCAACATAGAGCCTCAAAAAACCCCCGTTTTAGTTTCTTAAGGAAAATAGCCACTTCTGTAAGCTTGTAGAAGCAAGCAAGTGTCCCATAAAGGTTTTAATGTCCTGTATATCATGCTCATTTTGTTGATAAACTCCCATTAAAAATGTTTCATGTATTTTTAAGATCATCTGCATCATCTGTAACACAGTATATGCAACGTATTTCTCGCTATTGCAAGGGATAGTGCTCAGAACTCATCACCACCCTTGTCGAATTTCTTTCTTAGCTTTCAAGGTCAGAGTTGTGCAACTTGAGAATCTCCAGAGTTCTAGCTCATAAGGTTTTGCTTTTATTCCCTTCTTTCTCCATCTACTCTAGAACTTTCCCCTTTTACTGTTGTACTGAGGAATTTAATGCCCTCTTCTAGTTTGTTTGCTCCTTGAACTGTTTGAGGAAGACATAAATAACATACTGCCTTGGTTGAAAAGCTTTATTAGGAGAATCCAAACAACTGTTCCATTATTTGAGACCAAACATTATTACTCTAATTTCTCCATTTTAAGTAGCAGGCCTGTGGGTTGGTCCAGTAGGAGTACAGCAGAAAGGTGCTGGAAGTAGCTAGCGTGGGGGTAATGGAGATATGTGAGGAAGACGGTGGAGTACTGCTCATAGAGTGAGGACATTTGGCAGTTCCTCTGTAAAAGATGATAACAATTCCTTCAAAATGTTACTGGGAATACAGGGTGAGCAGCAATGGTCGAGCACTTGGATACAACCTGTATAGTGATGGGTTGACAGGGGTTCTGTGGCTGTTTTTCAAAATGATGTGTGTGCAGGCAGGTGTTTTATTACCCTCCTTCCCTGTCTACCCACCTGCAGCATGTAGCCCTTTCAACAGTGTTTCTAGCCTGTTCCCTCCCTGTCTTGGTACGTTGTTAGTGCTTCAGCCACAATCAGCATGTCAAGAGTAGTTCCTTGCTGTTCATTGCTTATTCCTTCTTTAGGTAGGATTTATGTTGGGCAGCAGCATCCTGGAGTGGTACAGTTCCTTGTTTATTCATGTCATGCATCGTATCATATATCTTATAATGATTTAGGCCATAACCATTGCACCTCTTCTAGTTAATGTTCCCATGTTGCCCTTGACAGTGCTTCTTTGACTGGACTACAGGATTACAAGTAAAAGGCAGGGAGAAGGACTCAAATTCATTATAAGCTGCTGAACAGCCTTCCACATTGTAGCATAGGGAGGAGGAAAGAATGCATGTAGTGCTTACAGAATAAGTGTTATGTAAATTCTTCATAAATAATTATCATGATATATAAGGCTTATTACTGTATTTTGGTTTGTTCTATCTCCACTAGTTTTGAATGGTAGTAGTACCACATATTCAAGGTTATGACATAGTTACATCCTAAAACCACCAAATAAGTCCCAAATTTACCACACTGATAGGTGTAAATATATTCTTTAATTGATCAGTTTAAGGGAAGAAAAAAACAAACCCTGGTGTTTAGCCATAAGTTTTAAGGATACAGGATAACAGCTATTCCAAAAAATGAGTGTCAAGGAAACTCTTGATTCAGAAGGTTATGTATAAAAGCCTCCAGCAAATATGTTGAGTTGTTTATGGAATTTTTACTTCCACTGGAATGTGCAGCTTTGGTATTGGCTTCTATAAACAAATGCAACTTTAGGGAAGTCCTTATTTCCACTAAAGAGATAGACATGTCTCGGAGAGCAGGAGTACTGAAGGGTAAAGGCAGGTTACAGTTATTCTAATCATTGACTCAGTGCCTATTTTGCTTCTGCTGTTTAACAGAAGGACTCTGATGCAGACGATGCTGTAGAACAGTTATATCTTGTTGTTGTGGCTATTGATTTTGGCACAACATCCAGTGGCTACGCCTACAGCTTCACCAAGGAACCAGAATGTATTCATGTAATGAGGTAAGGGCTGCAATGCAGCATTTAGTTTTCAATAGTGATAACACAGAGTGTCTGCAGTAGCTATAGATGTTTCCTACAGGAGCCTGAAATGTCTGGGTTTGTGTGCTGTTGCCACAGTGCACACCTTCTTTTGGTTATAGTTTTTTGTTGCATCTTATTTTATTCTAATTTGCTTTAATAATCTTTGTGAACATGTTCTCTCTCTGTTCTTTTGCTGAGTTTACAAGATGACATGAGTAAAGGGAGTAATCAGTGAGTATTTAAAATTGTTCAGGGAGCAGTGATAATTAAGTCAGGATGCCCTTATCTTGGTGACTGAGAGAAACTACACATTTGTTAAGGGTCATGGGATTTTCCAGGAGCTGCCCATCCCCTGTAGTCATGCCTGTGTACAGTTGTGTGTAGTACACTATTACTGGTAGTTAATTATTTGGCTGATTGAAGCTTTTTACTGTGAAATTTGAATCAAATCTCTGATAATGAACCAGTGATATTGGGAAATCAGCAATCAAAAGGCATGAATGTGCAAATTAAGGTTTCCTGTGTGATCTGTTCTGTATTTTATGTGTGTAAGGGACAGACATATGCTGTGTAGGGGATTTTAAAAAATTATTTCTTTATCAAATAAACACAGTATAAATCTATGCATATAAATCTAATGGAAGCACAAATGCAGAAGCTATTATGGCAGGTACCTGAAAGGATTCTCCTACAAATAATTTTTATAGTCCTTCTTAAAAGTTTGGTTTAATAACTATACAATTCTTATCAAAGTATCTTTAAAATTACTATATGGTAACAAGACCAAGTTACAGATAATTTCAGGTGTAAACAAAGTTTGTATGAAAAGCTGAGCTGTAGAAGTTCTAAACAAAGCTGCTGTCATAGCAGTAGGCAGTGTGCTGTTTGCAGCACTGTAATACTGAGAACAAAAGGACAAGAAGACTAACTTGCTGTCATATATTGCTGTGATATATTGAAATTTTTCTAAGCAGAGATGCTGGCTGGATGCAGCTCTCTAAATCTCAGCAGACAGGATTGATTGTGCAGTCAGCCTGAATAGCTGGTTCGTATAGGGTTGCAAAGTTTTTCAGAGACCTACTGCAACCGAGTGATTAGAAATACTGGCTAAAGGGAGGCAAACCCTGGAATGGTGTTACACCGTCCAGTTGGAAAGACACCTACTGTTTTCAGTATGGAGAAGTCATGCCTCAGGGCTTTTTATGCATCTCATCCATCTGTTGTTCTTTGAGCAGCCCGGGAAGCTGCGTGAGGCTAGAAGTCAAAGGACTGGCCGTGGGTTGCTGTCACAGGCAGGTTACAGGGTTGTCAAGTGAGAACCCATGTTGATCAATTCCTGTTTTCTTTAGACAGCAAATAATTAATCCCATTCAGCATCTCTGAAGCTGTTCCCTGAGCAAGCCTAATCCTGTGTACTGTGTTGTTCCTAAACTCTCCATGAAGATTTTACTCTGTGAAATCACTGCTGCTCCTAGGGATGGCCTGTAAGTGCTTGGAACTCTGAATCTTATCTTAGGACCTAATTTTGCCATTGGAGTCACAGTGTACTGCAGTAAATTACAGACTAGATTCTCCTTCTTGGGTACCAGGCTTCCTGCTGTAGATCACTGGGACACTGAAATCTAGGTGCTGTGTGGCCAGCTGAGAGTGTATTCCAAACCTTAACTGACATTTTGCTGCTTATGGTTCAAACCACCATGTTTTCTTCCTTCTGCAATAACGGGAGCCCGGTTGTGATTTCAGACCTGTGTAGATATTGTGTGAGATACTGATGTAAAAAGAAATGAAAAGTTTGAATTAATCTATTCCCAACCAGAAGAGAGAAATATATTTTTCCAGGAGAAATATATTAATATTTCCAACAGGTATTTCAAACAATAGAAAATCTTTTAATAAGATTTTTTTTTAAAAAAAAGTAAGTATTAGTGGCAGGGAAGGATTTTGGGAAAGACACAGCTGAAACTGACTTAGGAAATAATGTATATAATACTTTTTTATATATTTCTATAGAAATACTAATGAAATTGAATGAAAAGAACATTATGTGTATCAAAATAAGGCTTCAGGTAGTTTAGAAGGTATTAAGAGGCTCAGACTCTGTGTATAATGAGGCTTACATGTAGGGTAATTTACAAATATTTCAGCAGAGTAAATGTAACTTCCCGCCCGCACTCCAGAATGTTTATGTTAAAATAAAGCATGCCAATGATGCGTGGTCCTCTGTACTTCCTAACATTTTTTCCACCTTCCCTCCTTAGTGTTGATCCTTTCCAGACATTTAGATTTCTGAATGCCTTTTAACAAAGCTCCTTTTCTGTAAATGTCTCAGCGAAGGGTAAAATGAGTTTCTTTAGAAGGTCGTGCTTTGGAGAAGAGTGAACACAGGGGGCTGTAGTACCAAGTTTGAGTATAGTGTCACCAAAGTCACAGTTCTAATCATGTAATTAGTAGACAAAGTCATGTTTTTGACTCTGTGTGTTTATTTGCTTATCACCGGGCTGTGATGCTCAGTATTAAAATATAACAATGTATAAGCCTTGACCTAACAAGGTTCTTTAAGCATATAATTAGCTGTAAATGTGTGAGTAGCCTCACTCATGTCAGTAGACTGAAGCATGTGTTTGGAGTTGGGTGCTTCTGGATGATCAATGACTTCACTTGGATGGCATAATGTTAGTTACTGTTTTATTAGTTTTTGGTAATACATCATGCCTGGTGCCTCTTGCTAGTTCCCCACAGCTTCTGTAAAGGTAATTGTGGGTACCTTCAGGTTCCTGTTGCAGAGTGGAAGTACATGTTAAAATGAGTCCTATTTTCTGCATACCTGGAGACTGAGGGAATGCCTGTGAGCAGCCTGGTCAGGAGTGCAGCAAGCACTGCAGTGGGCAGGGCGGTGCCAGAGCCATAGTGAAAGATAGTTTGGTGCTGTAGAACAAATTAATGATGTCTCATTTGACAGGAATACATGAGGACTCACACAGTTTTGAAAAACTCTCATTAATTTATAGGCACTTACCTGAAGTTATAAATTTGGTTCCTGTTTAAATAGCAGCACACTGAATGTGAGAGTTTAACAAATGGAGAAAAAGAAATGGGGGGGGGAAAAAAAAGCTTGTGATTATGAAACAAATTGCAGCCTGTCTTTGGAAGGAAGGAGAATGTGGTCTTTTTTCAGTGTAACTTTACTTCAACCTTCAGGTTTTTCCTTTTCCCTCTCTCCCCTGGTTGTGTTTCTTGGCAGACACACGCTTGCCTTTCTTCTGCACACACACTCCTGGCAGCGTTGGGCTGCGTTGTGATGACCCCACTGCTTTGTTTCTGTGGCTGTTGAGCTGCAGGTCCAGATCAAATTCTCATCACTCTGCACAGACCACTCTCTTTGCTCTGCCTGTTAGCCAGATTCATGTGTAAGGAAGGGCATTTCTCTGACCTTAGTGTAACCTTGTGATCCTTTCCACACTAACTTATCTCCTTTCTTTATTTTCACTTTTAATATACAGTCAGATTCTGTCTGGCTATAAACACATCTTGAGCTATTCCACTTAATAACAGCCTAGGAACTGGACTTCTCTGTCTGAATTCAGGCAGAAATCTGCTTTGGATTCTGCTTCAGTAGATTTTTAGCTCTGACACTGCTTTGAGGAAATATCCCCTGCGTGCATTTAGAGTACTACTGGCTTTTATTAGTACATGCTCTTAATAGACTTTTCCATATTTTTATTTTTCTTAAAATTATCATTACCATTATTTTGTCTGTATTGAGACTATGAAATAAACCTGCCCATGGAGGTGTTTAAATCCTGGCCCTACCTCCTACTGACTAGAAGCCTCCACTAACTGGAGTGAGGCTAGGACTCAACCTGAGAAGAGTCTCACAGTCAGGAGTTCCCACACACATGCCTTTGCAGTGATTCTAGAAGAGATGCCACACAGGAATATTTTTGTATTTCTGATTGCAAGTGGTAAAGTTGGACTTTGCCTTCTGGGTCCTCATTGCTCTTTCTGTGACTGAACAGTAATACAGACTGAGGACATTTGAACCTGCTGAGCAATTATTGTCTCTAGTTTCCATCAAAAACTCATCAGGAAGTGAATATCCCACTCTCTAGGTGGCTTTGAAAATTTCAACCCACACCACTGAGCATCAATTTGTCTTCATTTAAACTGCACGTTAAGTGTACTTATTCCGGAAAGAGATGTGCTTAGCCCTAATGAAAAATGAAGAAGTATTGTTATTGGCCCCATCCTATTTATGGCATTTCCCACCAGTGACTCAGAATGAATCATTAATGATTCCAGGCAAAACCGACAGCAGTCTGTCTCCTCTCTGCTTGCAGCGGGTGGGTGGGATTGAACAATCTGGTGAAATAGGCAGCGTGTTCTGTTCCTGGGCTCTGGGATTCCAGCTTCTTCACATTGGAACCATATGTTTGCTGTAACACCTACTCGAAGATTTTGGAGTTGACCAAGTACATTTCTAGCAGCAGGTTAGAAGAAATCATCTGGAGCCGAGCCCTTGCCAGCTGGTAATAGCTCAGGGGCTGGGCAGGGTGGCTGGGGAAGTTTAGGAAAGCTTTTTCCAAGTGGATGAAGGTGGAAATCATTCCATTTCTCATCATGCTCTTCTGAGTAGTGGAATTGCCCCCTGCACTGAAGTAAATTCATAAGCATTCAAAGCAAAGCAGATTTTGCTCTGTTTGATCTAGTGGAGTGGTCTGACGGGTTCTCAGCACTTTAGAAGATCCTGTTCCTTGTTACTTTGCCAAGGATTAACCCCTTAGGTGGCAGTTTTCCATGTCAGTTGTCTGCCTTGGTCTGGAGGGCAATTAATTTTCAATTGCCTCAACTGTTTGACAGTGAAACAGAAAGGCTTTTTTTCTTTTTCCCTATGTTATCTTCCTATGTCACATAAACAAATAGCACAGAACAAGGCAACCTTTTTTGTGATTCAGAAAAAGGACTTTGGCAGAAGTGTATTATGAAAGTGTTTTGCTATTTTTAGAGAAAAGCAATCAACATGTGGTTTGTTAATGAATGCAGTTGCCTGTGGGATCTTAAATTGGCTCCTGTTTGAGCTGTGCTATGATTATGTCCGACAGCATAAAGCAGATTTTCCACTGATGTCTTTTTAAGAAAACGTTTTCTGGTAAGTGTTTGTTTCCCATGCTGAAAGTACTTGTATATGGGCTGAGGAGGAACAGCAATGCAAGTTTCTTGTTCTTCCATTCTGCTTTTTTTTTTTTTTTTTTTTGTGATGGAGAAGTGAGGAGAAGACAAGGATGCTCCCAGCTGACTGTGGTACAACCTTCTACTCTCTAACCTTGTCGTCCCACCATGCCCGCCCTCCTAGTTCCTATTGCTGGGTGTTCCCATATTCAGTGTTCCTATTTATTTCTTTATCCATTCTGAGAAGCAAGCTTTGGATGGCTTTTGCCTTAATACTTTCGTGCCTCTGGGGTCTTCCTGAAGATACCTTCACAATCTTGACAAGATAGGGTGGTTTTATGCACTGTTTTCAAAGGGTGATAGTGAGATGTTTTGGTGTCTATAAGATACTTGGGGGCTGGGAGAGTCAGTTTTATTTTTTACAGCCAAAAATGTTTACAGCATTTTGGGCATTTAAAACACAAACCCCATCCACTTAGCTGAGTAGAGAATGCAATGCAGAGAGCTCAACATCTGCAGAGAAGTCTTCAGAGTTGCAGGTGTCAGGAAATGAGGCACCTGCTCCGGTGCTGGTAGAACTGGCTTGTGCTGCTTCAGAGAGAGTTCTGTGACAGACACAGGGATTTACTCAACTCCTCCACAGTGCTCAGCTGACAAGCAGGTCCCCAGTTCAAAATGGGGAAAATCTCCCATATGAGTAAGCATTCATGGAGTCTGACTGGCAGCTGGATAGGCCACTCATTTTGAAGATTTGTGTTTTCATTAGTAGTGTTCTTGGATAATCGCTTGATTTTTTTTTTTTTTAATTTTTATTTTTTGCTGTACAGTATTTATGATGTACATGTGCTTCATTTGAAAGTTAAGTTATGCAAAACTGTTTCTTTGTTAATTGTGTGTACCTTCAGGGACCTCATATTCTTATCAAAGACAGAGTATTATTATATCCTTAAAGGTTATACAACTTAACTGCAAAATTTATTGAATTAACTGAAATGAATATGATGGTCCTCTTTTCTTGGATGTGACTAAAACCACTTGATTTTGATATTGCAAGTGTTGAAATTAATATCTTTGGAGAGAAAGCAGTCTGTGCAATCTGCCATCACATTGCTTTTCCCATGATACTCTATTTTTTCTGCTGCTCTAAACATTAATATCACTTACTGAAGCTGTTTCACTTGTTGGATAGACGATGGGAAGGTGGAGATCCAGGAGTATCCAATCAGAAGACACCAACCACTATCCTCCTAACACCAGAGAGGAAGTTTCATAGCTTTGGGTATGCAGCAAGAGATTTCTACCATGACTTGGATCCTACTGAATCAAAGCACTGGTTGTATTTTGAAAAGTTTAAGATGAAGCTACATACCACTGGTGTAAGTAATTACCAATTTTCTTGGATAATTATGCATTTGCTACTCTCAGATTATCTTCCTGTCGACAGGACTAGATTTCTGCCTAAAGACTGTCAATGAGACATGAAGCAGCTCTATTGCTATGTTTGGAGAGTAAATAAAAAAAAAATAAACTCTCCAGTTAACATAATGGTTCATTTTGCTTCTCACTGCATCTGGCAAGAATATTTTGCCAGCTTTCTTTCTAGATCTTAGAATTTTAATATCTACTTTGCTTAGATCTTCACGTCCTGATTTTCCTGGGTGAAATTCATAGCTGTCTAGGGAGTCTGCATGAGGTTGGTTTGTTCATAAATATACTCAGAAAGCAGAAATGGAACATGAGAGCCATACTGAACTCTAGTGCAGAGGAGCAAATTTACCCAGAGATCATTGTCAAAACTGCAAGTGCAAATCATATTGTTAATTTGATGTTATTCCTACTGATTATATTTTTGTCTTTAATCTGTTCTAAAGCATTGGGAATTGGCCAGTATTTTTTGTACTGAGGAGTTTTCTGGTTTTGTGTGTTGGTGGGTAGCCAAAAATTTATGCTTTTAACTCTTGGATGAAATATCATGCATATGGAGCTTTGTTGCAATTAATTACAGATGCATTTATTGTAATTATTTCTATTTAGTCTACATTTTTCTCTCTGCCTGCAGTTATCTGTAGACATAGTAGGTATTTAAAAACAAAGTCTAAAATAAGCAGCAAATGTCATGCTCCAGGAAATTCAAGTGATGAGTTAGATCCTCTTCAGAACAATTTTGTCACTTTTTCCTAACCAGGTGGATAATGAAGAATTCCCTTTACTCAAGCAGTGGGAATTAATTTCATGTTTACCTTTTCCTTTTAATAACTTCCTGGGTTTTTTTGTTGATGTAGAATCTTACCATGGAGACAGACCTGACAGCTGCAAATGGCAAAAAAGTCAAAGCACTTGAGATATTTGCTTATGCTCTGCAATACTTTAAGGAACAGGCACTAAAGGTAAGGTAATGCTTCCTTATCTAGATTTATTTTTTTTTGGTATTTATAACTGGTATAAATATGAGCTTAACACTTCTAACCCTGCCAAGCTTTGACCTCAGCAGTGTTTGATGTAAACAAAGCAAGGCAGCTGCAGACACTCTAGGCAAGCTGTGGAGTCTGGAGAGCTCACAGTAGCCTGAAGTCATTTCCCTTCACACAGGGGCAGCTTGGTTCACTAATAGTACACGTATCCCTGTGATGCAGAGTTCTGATTATCTTCTTACAGACTTAAATGTTTTCTACTGCTTTTTTCATGAAAAAAACATTGATTTGAGAACAAAATGTAAAAGTGCAAGAGCTGACATTGGGTCCTGCTTTCTCCCTCTGCACTTCTGGTGCTGGGATCATGGATTGTTCTGTATTCTCACAAGGTTCTCTCTCATGTTAAAGAGTTGACACTGTGAAAGCTAATAGGATGGGCACATACTGATGTCTCCTGCCACAACCTGACTTTGTTGTCACTGGTTAAGCAACAGGAATTCAGATCAGCTCGATTTATTTTGTAATAAAAAGATTATTAAAAGCTTGCTTATAATTTAGCGACTTGAGTCTCACTGTAAGTCTGTATGAAGATGACCTGCTGAGATGTACAAGCTGGCTAACCTGATGGAAATAGTGTAATTATGCCAGTGCAATGATCTGCACAGGCTGCTGGATTGCACTGAGAGGTTCAGTATATTGGCCTGTGTGGAATTCTGGACCAGTGCAGTGCAGATATATAGCCTCTGTTACCCAAACCAACACAGGAACCTGTGCACAACACTCCTTTATTCTGTTTTTCCTTTATTCAGTTAAACTGAAGTGTGTGTGCCATAGAGCTGCAGTTAGGCTATGGGATTTGGGTCCTGTGCTGACCCTTTGCAGGGGTGAATTTTGTGTTGTGCTGTCAAATAGAATCATTGAGGTTGGAAAAGAACTTTAAGATCATCAAGTCTCATCACGAACATAGCATTGGCAACTTCACCACTAAATCAGCAGCACCACATCTACATGTCTTTTAAATACCTCCAGGGACAGAGACTCTGCTTCCCTGGACAGCCTGTTCCAGGGCTTGACAAGCCTTTCAGGGAAAAAAAAATTCTGAATATCATCTGAACCTTCCCTGGTGCAACTTGAGGCCATTTCCTCTTGTCCTCTTTCTTGTTTCGGAGAAGAGACCTCCTCCCACCTTGCTCTAACCTCCTTTCAGGTAGCTGTAGAGAGCGAGGTCTCCCCTGAGCCTCCTTTTTCTCCATGATAAAAGAGCCACCATTCCCTCAGCAACTCCTCACATGACTTATTCTTTGGACCCCTCACCAGCTTTGTTGCTCTTCTTTGGACCGCTCCAGCACCTCGGTGTCCTTTTTGTAGTGAGGGGCCCAAAACTGAACCCAGGATTTGAGATGTGGCCTCATTGGTGCCCACTACAGGGGGATGATCCATGATCCCTGCCGTAGTCCTGCTGGCCACACTGGTGCTGATACAAGCCAGGATGCTGTTGGCCTTCTTGGCCACCTGGACACACTGATGGCTCGTATTCAGCTGGCTGTCAACTAACACTCCGAGGTCCTTTTCCACAGGGCAGCTTTCCAGCTGCTCTTCCCCAAGCCTGTAGCATTGCATGGGGTTGTGGTGACCCAGATGCAGGACCTGCTACTTGGCTTTGTTGAACCTCATAAAACTAGCCTTGGCCCATTGATCCAGCCTGTCTGTGTCCCTCTGCAGAACCTCGTTACCTTCAAGCAGGTCAACACTCCTGCCCAACTTAGTGTCCTCTGCATTATGTGGTTGCCCTGATGCTGAATGCACATTTATGCAGAAAATCTAACGAGCATTAGGCAGAAGCAAAAAGGCAGACATCTGTTAGGGGTTTAATTTTAAATTAGTATTGTGTTCTGATAGACTCCCTCCATTTATGCTGCCTTGTTTTTTCTTTTTTTTTTTTTTTTTTTTTTCTGCTGTGGTTGGTGTTGGTGGGGAAAATGCATTTTGTTTTCCATTTTCCATTTGAAATGTAGCAATACTCATTTCTTGTAACATTCCTCTTGGGCCACAAGATTGTTTTTTGTATTCTTTTGTGAAATATATGTCTGCAGTAAACACTTCTGGAGACTTAAAATCTCATATAAACACTGAGATGTCAGTTAAGTACACATTGGCTTCAAACTTGCCACTACAACATAACATAAGCATAGTAGTTGCTGGGCCAAATCAGAGCATTCACCTCAGCAAGCATTGTTTAAAATAACCATGCTGTTAAAAACCAACCTACTTTTTTGATTGGGTTTAATTTATTCTCTGTCAGATCTCAATCTATTCTTTATTGCTCCAGAGAAGCAATCCTGCTGCTACAACTCAAAGTCCTCATCTTGTCAAAGACTTATTTAACTAGATTTTGGAGTTGATTGTGGAGTCGTGGACATGAACTCATGCGTAGCCTGGGGAAATTCTTAGTGAATATGAATGCTGTTGAGTGCGATCCCATGTATTTGCTGTCCTGTCTGTTCAGGGCTACATCCTTTCTTGATGTTAATAACTAAATCCCTGTGATTTGTGAGTGCATGCTGAAACTAATTAGACAAGCAATGTAAATGAACTGTTACTTTGGACTATAATCTGCCCGTTCCTAGTGCACAGTGCAGTATAAAGGTACTACTTTTCTAGCCTGGAGTTTTGGACTGCAGCATAGCTAAACAAACACAACACCTTGGCACAGAACATGCAGAAACTTTTTTTTTTTTTTTAATTTTATATTCTAAAGGCCTGTTGTTCACCTTTCTGAACTTTTCCCTGTTTGGATGGAGATTTAGATAGGACATATGGTAATGACATTTTGCTTGGAACCTTTCCCAAAACATGTCACTATATCACCTAATTTGCAAATGCAATACAGACTTTCCTTTTTTTAAGGAGAAAAAAAGGACAATAAAAAAAACTAAACTGGTCTCAAAGGTTTGCTTAAAGCAAAATTTTCAAGGCACAGTCAGTCTTTTTTTTTTTTTTTTTTTAAGATTTAACTGTAACTTCCCCCTGCTAACCGAGTTGTAAAAATTTGATTTAAAGGTAAGTGGTGAAGAATTTAACTGTAACTTCCCCCTGCTAACCGAGTTGTAAAAATTTGATTTAAAGGTAAATGGTGTATAAAGAAGACATTGAAAAATCCAGTTTGTAAAACAACAATCATCAGTGATACTTCAGAATTTTTCTGTGTATTAATCAAGATGCAAATGTTAATTCTCCAAGCTGACAGCAAATCCCACACTGTGACGGAGAATGTACATAAACATTTTGTCATTTTCAGCAGTGCATGAGCTGCTTTTGGAAAAACTAACCTTTTTAATTCATCTTAAGCAGTAAACCATTCTATAGACCTCCTTGAGAAGCCATTGGGCCTAATCCCAGCTTTTGGCACAATAAACCATTCTTGACAGGTTGGCAATAATTCTGATTTGTAGCATAGATGTAACAGGAAACAAATTAAGAGGAGAAAGCTACTAGAACCAGTGGAAAATAATGTTTTCTTATAGAGCTGAGACCCATCATTTTGCGTTCACCTCTGTTTTCCTCTTATTTAGGAGCTCAGTGACCAAGGAGGCTCAGACTTTGAAAACACTGAAGTAAGATGGGTCATTACAGTGCCTGCCATTTGGAAGCAACCTGCAAAGCAGTTTATGAGACAAGCTGCCTACAAGGTAAGATTACAGTCTGGATGTAGAAATACACCTTTAAAGGCCTAATTGGTAGGCTAAACAATTAGCTCTAGGATGACCTGTATAGAAAAGGTCTAGAAAAGAGTCAGATTAGAAACATTGAAAAAGGAGTTAACTCGACTAAGCAGTAGTTTTAAGTCTTCACCTTAAGTATTCCCCTCTTAAATGCCTTTTTCTTTCTATTTACTTTTATATATTGATGTCCCTTAGTGCAGACCCTAATGTTTTAGTCATCTCGTACGTTGTAT